ATGGCCGACGAATCGACAGGAATGTTCCAGAAGTTCCGGAATATGTTGAAGAGAAGCACCATCTACGCCGATGAACCGAAGAAAGATGCGACGGGAGATGCTACGAAGAAGGACGAAGCCGGTGGTAAGGACTGCAAACCGTGCAAGATATGCACCGAGCAGAGAAAGGCCAAAGAAAAATGGTAATTTCTCGTTGTTTTAATATTAGTTTCTGTTCTCTGACTGTAAATTTCAATAAATGAATTCATTGTATTCTTTAATTAAACGACAGATTTGTTTTTATAATAACGATAGCTTACATATTTGTTATTGATTTCTCGATTGAATGACAAAAAAATCTTGTGTCCAATTTAATTTGGCAGCGTAAAAGAGAAAGGTGAAGATAAGTGCAAAGATCTGATCAAGGCCTTCGACGAGTGTATGAAGAAAAATAGCGAGAAAAATGGGAAGAACGGATCAAAGAACGGATCAAAGAATGGGAAGCATTAAAAACCATCATCTTACTGGATCTTGTCTAATTTCATGACTGAAATGTAATCTATCGTGTTAAATGAAAGGTGTCATGAACATGTATTGCTGTTTATGACGGTTTTAAATAAAATTTGAAGACTGGTACGTTAAAATTGTTTGCAAAAACTAAAATGGTAAAATAGTACATTGTAAGTTTAAAAATATAGATTTACAAGCCACAAAAACCAAAATTAACGTTAAAAAGTAAGCTATCTTGAAGCATTCTGCAAATAAACGAATTGTAGGCATTTAACCTATAGTAATAGAAAATATTGAGAGAAAATTTACTTATGTGTCTATCATTATTCATGTATCACTACTAATACACACATTTATAGATACACACACACATACATACATACACACATACATGCATGTGTGTGTGTATGTGTGTGTGTGTGTGTGTGTGTGTGTGTGTGTGTGTGTGCGTGCAATTCGTTTCTCCATGGTTTCTCCTAAAAGTATTCTAACTTGCACGTATATGGTTCGTTCATACTAAGCTAAATGTTTCTAGCTTACCCGTCGTTCGTTTAAAAATGAACCTCGCAATTTTTATTTCGTTTGCAACAATTTTGATCAAAGTTAGTCATTTTAGTAACAAATAAAAGTTCAATCGTTTGAATAATATTTTAACTTTTTAGATTCGAGCGGAGGAGGAGTTTGAAGGCTATTTCAAATTATTAGTGGAACAGAGTTTCGAAAATGGTATATCAAGTATAACCATGCATAACCATAACAACCCTTCCATTCATTTTGCTTTCAAAATTTTTATTTCACCTTTTTAATTTTTATTTAATTAATGAGTGATTGATTAGTGCAATATTATTAGAAATTAAATTAATCTACAAGGATTGACAACGACCTACACAAGAAGGGGAGTGATCAACATTCATTCACTGAAATCAGGCAAGGGTGACATTTTTCATGATGCCAACCTGACCCCAGAACAAATTGAAGCATTGAGGGTTAGTTGGGATTTTCAGAATTTTTTAAAGTTTTTTGTTAACCATATGTCTTTGTTAATCCTTATTGATTACTTAGACAATCATAATGGTGTGTATGTGTAAAAAATGTATGTGTGTATCATATAGTTTGATAATAGTCTATTTGAAAAATTAATTCAACACTCAAGGATGTATAAAATTCAATTTAAATTTTAAGAAATCAGCAAGAGAAGATGGGATATATCGTATCAGAGTTTCAAAAATTAGTTCAGGCAACTCCGAGCCCCATTATGTCCACAGCTTTGTCAAGGCTGTTTGTAAAATTTTATTAATTGTTTTTTATATACATTTATTTTCAATATTATTTTAATTAATCTCATTATTATTTTTATTACTACATGTTCGATCTACTTCAACCATAGCTTACTAAATTCAATTTGACACCAATCACCATAGCTTTAGCTTAATTTAAAATGGTTAATCGGATTAGCTAATCAATAAGTCAATTAATTAATTAATTATTCATTTAAACAGTGTTCTTTGTTAGAATCTGGCCTCTCAGACAAGATTACAATCCATCTAGACAGCCTTGGTAACTTGCTTGGGGCCCATCTGAGCACAACAATTCCTTACTGTAGCTCAGATAGTCATGAAGCCATCATAGCTACAAAATTATTCGATACCTCTATTGACGTACAACAAACTGTTGTTGGGCCTGCGTTAGTTAATGCTTATTTATTGTTGTATCTATGTCTTATTGTGATATCTGTGTTTTATTTTAATGTTGGTCTTTTTTAAAATTATGTTTTGTTTTTTATTTTTAACTTAATTTCAAGTTGTTGTCAATGAATGTGTTGTGTGACAACACCTCTTTTGCTCTACGTTAAATAGTAAACCACAAATCTTTTCAAATAAATAAATTTATTTTTAAGTAAAAATTATGAAATTTTATGGAAATAAATTATTTCCTACTTCCAGGCCAGAGACAGAATCATTCATTAGAAAATTGGAGTTAGAGAAACAGCAGGCCAAAGGCCAGCAGGCTGACAATCGATCTTTCTTCGCTAAATACGTAAGTACATAAACATCTATGTGTATGCATAGTTTTGTATAACAACGTTAGCACACATGCAACAAAACAAAAACTAAAGTCAGTGTAATCTATATATTTAATGCATATTATAAACGTCGGGATAGATAAATCGATAGATAGATTGTATCATCTATCTGTAGATTTGCTGACCAAATTTATTGAATTCAGTCTTTTACAGCCAAATTTTTTGTCACATTCACTACTCGTTCACTCATTCATTCGGTCATTCACTAATTCATCCATTTATTCACAGTGGATGTACATTGTACCACTGTTCATATTCCTAATGGTCCTGAACAATGCTGATCCTGGCCAATCAGGAGGAAGATGACGATTGATTGAATCACCGATTGGTTGATTGATTTGATAACTAGAACTGATTGGTCGACCGATTAAGTGGCAGATTTAACGAATGACTCATTGATTGGTTGAATAAATGAGAATTATTAACGGCCATTAAGTCATTGTTTTGATGTATATATTGTTGCCTTTGTGCTCAACCAAGAGTTAAAGCTTATAATAACAAACGATCATAGGCGGTTTCATTCATTCCTCTTCATTGATGGTCTGCTTTCAGTAATAAAATACTTTAAATCTGAATTGAACTTATTTGTGAGGACAGGAACATTCAATAATTTCATTTAATTTTGAAAAAAGCTAATTCAATAATTTCATTTAATATTGAAAAAAGCTAAAATAGTGATGAACAAACAAAGGAGCGAAATAACAGTAGAAACGAGAATACATACTGCAAATTGAGAGGAGCATGCACCGCAAGAAGCAAATAGATAATGGAGTGAACGGGCAGCACGCTACGAACAAGGCTCACATGCGGTGATAATTTCGAACAAACAATTACAATAACAACTTAGGAATCAAAACAAGAATCTTAATTATACAATTAACTATAAATATCTATCTATAACTATAACGGGCGACCTCTTAAATAGAAATACTATTACAAAAAAATAACATGAAACAAAATGATATAGTCGACTCTGTGTCATGCACATCATTATTGTCTTGGGGAGTATTGGTTAGTGAAGATGGCGACGATTATGCACTAATTTCCTCGTCTGGGGAGCCACAACCGGATTCACATTTGTGATGGTTGTCTCCGTCTCCACAACAGTTCGCATCACTTTCCTTCTTCAGATTTTCATCTGAACTCTTCGTTTCCAGCTGTTTCTTCAGTTTAGAAATTAAATTAATTATTTTTGCATTTTTGTAATAAAATGAATTATTAATTTATGATTTTAAATCATGGTGAGATGAAATATTTTCTTTGAGACTAATGGCAAAACATGACTTGTGTTGCGAGTACACACGAGTACAAGCATACACAAACAGACACACATACAATACACACACAACACGCATACTTTAGAATCAGCTTCCGCAAATTTAGCGAACATGCCAGCATAAGTTTTCTTCTCTTTCTCGTAGATGGCCTTCAACTTTTGACTGATCAATGTTATTTGATTCTTTGCTGCCTTGTTCTCTGGATCAACCTCCAACACAAGTTTGAAATCTTGGATTGCTTCTTGGAAATTTTGAAGATTATGCTGGGCCTGTGAGAAGTGAGTGTTGTGAGTATGTGTGCTTAATTTGGTATGGCTAGCTAGGGATAATTTCAAATTTTGAGACAAAACATCAAATTATAGTTAGCAATCAGTTAAAATATAATGCATGATTAGTAAAAATTAATCTGAAACATCTCTATGAAAATGATATTGACTGGCTAATCAATCAATGTCGAAAATGCAAAATTGAAATTCTAAATACAAGCATAAACAACACACACAAGACATGAAATTAACAGTTCTCACTAACAGTAGCTCGTCTGAACAATCCCTTCTCATTTTTTGGATCAAGAGTCAAAGCCTCATTACAGGAGTTGAATGCCTCGAGGTCTTCCTTCAATTTGAGGTGGCAGAGAGCTTCATTGAGGTGGGCAGCCAGCAGAAGAGACTTGCGTTTCTCAGCACTCTCACCCTGTAGGGTATCTTCACTCTTGAGGTAGTCGACTATCTTTTTGTAGTATCGTAGAGCCAGCTTGTACTTGTTCTCCTGAGACAGTTTCATCGGATTTTGTCAGTTAGTTTTGTCATGAGGTTTTGTAATTTTAATTTTTTGTACAAAATTTTTGTACAAAATTTTTGTTCCAGGTCTAAGACATTTAGCATTTGTCTTTTACAAACATTCAACAAAAAAAATCTTCCAAGTACAAAACACCTTATTAACAGAATAGAACAAGAGTGCAATGACACAAATTAAAAGCTTCAAAAAATAAACAGCATTAATGAGTAGAAAAGAACCTTGAAAAAGTTGGTACCCTTGGTCTTACAAATTTCTGATTGTTCCAGCTTTTCATCTGCATCCAACTCCCAAGACTCCTTGCTCTGTTCATACGAGAAAACAAAATATCAGTGTTACATTTTATCTACATGACAAACAATCAGCACACTTGAAAGCTCCACTATATATACAAAACTTCCATCTACATGTGTTGGTGTGAATGATCATTGTAAATGAACAACATGCAATGCTGAATAACCTTTTCAAACTTCTTCAACTCAACGTGATACTCCAAATCAGCAGATGGTGGAATGTTCAATTGAGAATTACCTTCAGCGGCATATGCATACTTAGATTTTATATTTAATTTAGCCTTTTCACCTTTTTTCATTTTTGTGATTGCCATCTCAAGGCCATCAACAATGCCCGATTCACAAGCCTCACCCACTGTAAATGTCACATCCCTGTTTTCAAACTCGACACCATTCAACAGACCAATTATGTGAACTGTGAGATTTTTAAATTTATATTCAGTGATACTTGGGGAATATAAAAAAAACTCATCATGAAAACTAAAAAAATTAGGAACTACATACAAATTCAGGGTTTAGAAAAATTCATAAGATAACCAAAAATTTACTTAAAGTATAAAATTAAAAAATTAAAACTAACCATCACAGGTGGCACCATCTCTGGGTGTTTGATAGCCCTCTCCGGCCACAAACGTACTCTTGAGAACTCCCTCATCTTTGCCCTCTGATACATCTTCCCCTGAGAAAACAAAAATTTCACATCAGTTTCAAATTAAAATATACACAATAGTTTCATGATATATAATTAAAAAGTTAAGAAAAACAAAAATCACCTTTCCAGTCAAAAAGCTCAACTTCAAATACCAAAGGCGAGTTTGGTGGTATTTTTGGTGGAGATCCACTTTTGCCATAGCCATAGTCAGGTGTGCAATACAAGATGGCTAGTTCACCTTTTTTCATTGTGGCCACACCTTGGTCCCAGGCCTTAATCACCGTACCTGGCAACATGAAGGCAAGTAAAATTTAATTTAATAATAATCCTACCAAAATAAGATCTCAATGATTAATATAATTATAATTTAAAACAAATTAATATCTAAAAAAATCTAATGAATGAAAAATCTTACATACCTTTCCCTAAATTAAATTCAAAGAGGTCTCCCCGATCTCGGCTGGAATCAAAGACAGTGCCATCTGGAAGCTTGCCAACATAATGGACCGACACCATGTCTCCAGTTAAAGGATGCTCCGTACCTTCGCCCTCCTTCAAGATTTCTTTCAGAACTCCACCGTCTTTATTAATTGAAACATCCACGGAGTTAGGACCCGGACTGTAAACCTGACTGGTGGCCATGTTTTCTGCTAATTTCTCATTTTCTTCACCCATTTTGAATGTTTCTATAAAATAAAACTGAAAACTTCAGATTGCAGTTTTACTAATCCCAAATTAAGAGCTAATTTGATGAAACAAGACGTGAAAAACGATAATATAAATGACGCAAGCGCAGATGAGGGAATCGAGAAAACTCTCGAAAATTGAAGAGCGTTGAGGAGCTAATTAAAAATATGGCTAAATGATGTGGAGTTTAATAATTCTGCAACGAAACATTTCAACAAAATAATGTTATAAAAGCATATTTTAAGCTAAATCTAAGATTAAATAGTGGTAGTGGGCAAAAAAGTCTCAATAAAAAACACAATACTCAGCGTTAGAAGAAAAAATTAGGACATATCACAAACAACAATGGTAAAAAAAAACTCATTCTCCATAAACCTGGAGTTTGAAGGTTGATTGCGTTAATGTGATGGTGATAATAAAATGATAAAGTAGTGATGATGATGATGATGAAAACAGTGACGAGGATGATGACGACGATGATGACGTTGAAGATTATGGCGATGATGATAGTGATGATAGTGATGCTGATGATGATGGTGGTGGCGTTGACAGCGGTTATGATAATAGTAGACAGTGAACAACAGCCAACCGTTAAAGAATAAAGATATGATTGCTTTCAAAAGATAATTTAATGCCCTCGGAATGCTAGGGTGGTCTGTCTGTCTGCCTGTACGTATGTATGTATATCCGTTTGTATGTATGTATGTATGTATGTATGTATGTATGTATGTATGTATGTATGTATGTATGTATGTATGTATGTATGTATGTATGTATGTATGTATGTATGTATGTATGTATGTATGTATGTATGTATGTATGTATGTATGTATGTATGTATGTATGTATGTATGTATGTATGTATGTATGTATGTATGTATGTATGTATGTATGTATGTATGTATGTATGTATGTATGTATGTATGTATGTATGTATGTATGTATGTATGTATGTATGTATGTATGTATGTATGTATGT